CGGGGCTGGGGATTTAGCTCAGCGGCAAAAGCGCCTGCCTGGCAAGCGCAAGGTCGTGAGTTCGGTTCCCGGTACCGGAGAAAAACCAAAAAAAAAAAACAAACAAAAAAAAAAAACAAAGAGAACTGAAACTGTTTCCATTCATCTTTGAGAGGTGGCCATGATACACTCACATTAAAAATATTAGAGGGAATACAATAACCAGGGAGAAGATGAATAGGAAGAAAATAAGTGAGACCTCTCTTTTTCTGGAATCCTGAAACTCAAAAGAAAAAGAATCAATTGAAACAGATAGGATAATTGGGATGATATTAGAGTCAGAGTGCTAAAAATAGTTAAATATGGAAATTAGTCACTGTCTTATTCAACAAGTGTTTATTATATATCAATGTGTACCAAATATGACTAGAGATATTAAATCTAGTAATAAACAAAAAGACAAGAAAATAGACATGGATATATATATATATATGTATATATATATATGCTAATAGAATACAAGACGGTGGAAAATACTACTCAGGAAACTAACCCTGTTTAAGGTATAGAAAATGTCTTGGAATAAGTAAATTCTTTTTCAAGTGCTTCCAGGAGGACTTCCCTGCGGAAATAACATCTGAACAAGAACTTAATGGAATAAGAGACCTAAGGGAAGAATTCTAAGAAGTGAACATAAATATATAGGTCATGAATTATGATGAAGAAACAAGAAAAAATATGACAGTAGTTGGGGCCTGAGGACAGTGCAGCTGGCAATTGTTGCTGGTGGAAAGGAGAAGTCAAATGATGGGCAGTGGAGGTCAAGGTGAAGGGCAAAACTGTGCAGACCGTGATAAAGGCATTAGATTATGGTTCACATCAATGCAAAGCCATTACAGAGTCTTAAGCCAAAGAAACCTGTGATCATATTATGCTTTTCATATATCTGGCTTCTGTTTTGTAATGGATTTTTTTTTAAAGTAGATTCAAGAAGCCTGAGTTGGAAACCTACTATAGCAGTTTAGGAAAAGATGTGGATCTCCTACAGTTTAGATATAAGAAAGTGTTTAGAGTTTGAATGTATATATATATAATATACTACATATATAATCTAATATATAATCTATAATCCCTTGTATACTAAATATATATAATATATATATATATAATCTTACATGCCTCTGTCTGATAGTACTGTCCTATACAAGAAAGTAAAAGTGTACATTGGGCAATCTGTTTTTCACTACTATAGCAAAACACCTAATGTCAGCTACTTTTTAAAGCAAAAGGTTTATTCTGGCTCAGAGTTATAGAGATGCAAATCATAGGAGCTTCATCTAATGAGAGAGACCCAGTGCAATACAAAGAATCATATGGCAAGAGACAGAGTGTACACATATTTGTAATTTCTTTCCCTCTTCTTACTAAACCCATTCATGAGCGCTCACCCTAATGACGTTACCTAACCCTAATCATTTCTTGAAGGCTCTGTCTTCAAGCACCAAACTCGAGTAAATCTTCACCCACTTAATACCATTAACATGAAACTTTGGGGGTTAAACTGCTGCATGAATTTGGGGATACAAATGATTATTGAAGACAGTATTGTGGTTGACAGGATGGTTCTATACAGTAGAGAAAAGATTAGTTTTCCTGAGTATAAGAATCATGTAGCTTCTATGATTCCTAAACTATACTTATCAGAGAATTTTAAGATCATATTTTCTGTTATGATTATACAACAAATTGCTTGTCTTTTATAATACCTTTAAAAATGAGTGTAAAGAAATGAGTGATATTACAGGAATCACACTCCAATATGGTAAATGGTGACATAAGATTTTTTGAGTAGAAAATGTCTTGGGAAAGTTAAGTCAAACTCATTTATCATTTTATATAAGAACTTCAGAGCATATAACTCCATGAAGCACATATCAAAACCCTATTTTATGGCTTCTAGAATCTTGTAATCCTTAGAGTTTAACAGTGTTTATGTTTTAATTCTATTTCATTAACTTTATTTTTATGTTTATGCTTTAATTCTATTTCATTAACTTTATTTTAAATGGTTATAATTTATGAATTGATGCTCCTGAAGTGAACAGTGATTAATAAAAGTGAAAGAATAAGTAACAAAAGATTAAGTCCAATTCCTAATAGTGAGTACTCAGTAAAATTTAAGTGAAATTCCAAGTGAAATTTTATAATTACTTAAAATCTACAGTGATTTGTGCTGGTTCTCTTACAAAGTAATTTTAATTTAATGATTCAGTATTGAATAATATGACATTTTAAAGAAAATGTGGTAGACTGATATGTTTGCAGTTCCTCATTTAATAATCCTAAACACTACAAAAATAAGTTAAAATTTAAAATGAGATAATTATTTATTTATCAAGGACAGCCTAACTACATAGTGATACCCTGTCTAAAAAAAAATAAATGTACTTATAGTAATTCAGAAGATTGTAAATACCCAATTAAAAATCAAGGTTATGATTTCTTTAGCGTTAATTTGTTAATGGTTAATTTATGTAGCCATAACACAGATAACAGTGGGTATCTTTTTCTTTGAGAACACACTTATTTTTGTCTAGAATGCATTATTTCTCTCTATATATAAATATATAAATAATTATATAGAGAGACCCTGTCCTTGAACTCACTGTATATCCCAATCTGGCCTCAAATTCATGGTGATGCTCCTGCCTCAGCCTCCTGAGTGCTGGGATCACAGGCATGGGCCACCACTCCCAGCCACAAATTTAGGAGTTTATGTACTTTAACATGCATAATTTCAAAAGTAATAAGATATGCTTTCTGCATAATTTCATGCTAAATTAAAAGTAATTTCAATGTGAATTTTTTTATAAATAACGATAAAAATAATAACATTAAATGGCTGTCATAATTATTAGCCATGGATAACAATGTTAATATAGTAACAATGTTTAAATGAAAGATATCTTTACCTTGTTTTTTTTTTTTGGTTTTTAGGGTTAAACTCTAAAAATACTATCAACAGTAACAAAAATCTGTTGAAAACACACAACAGGGATAGACTGTAACTATGAAACATAAAACATTTAAAATCTTCCAGATACTCTCCTAAGCTTTTGTTGTATTAAGTCCTTTAATCATCACAGTTCTAGTCATCTCATTTCACAGAAGAAGAAACAGAGCTACCAGGAAGTTTGAGCAGTTTGCTTAAGGTCAGATAGTAGTGCATTTGGGATTCAAATGAAAGGAAGAAGTAGAGTTTCAGAAACTGTACTTCTGACAAGCTCATTGTCAAAGAAAGTCTACATATTTGATGACTTAGGTATTCAGATTAAATTAGAAACAATCTTCTTTTTAAAAGAACTTTATTACATGAATTAGATTTGAGAGAAAAGGAGTCAAATTTCACCATTAGAAGGAAGGTCTTCTCCCAGTGGCCAGCTTTGGAAGAAAATGCTCAAGAATATGTCACTTTCTGTGCTTTAAAAACAAAACAAAACAATTCTTGCCCTAAGCTAATGCTGTGATAAAGGATGGTTGATTGGTTTGAGCATTTCCTTTAGCCCACAAGACTTTTCTATGTTCCAAAGCCCTTGTTGGCTTTTTTTTTTTTTGGTAGTACTGGGAATCAAACTCAGGACCGTGCCTTTGCCAGGCTGGTGCTGTGCCACTGAGCTACATCCATGGTCCATTGTTGGCTTCTCAAAGTAGCCCCTTTGTTCCCTTTTCAAATTGAGAAGCATCAGTTCTGGGTCTGTAGCTATGAAAATCACATCACTGTATTTATAAATTCCTCAGTTGTGCTATAGAGTTGTAAAGAAGATTGGTAAGCCAAGAATTCTTTTCTACAATACAATAATAATGATGATATAAATAGAAATCCCCCAGTCTTTCATGGATCCTATGATAATTGGGATGTTGTTTTGCTTTGCAGGGATTAATCTCTACTGTAGCATTCCCTAAAGTTTTAGTAGTTTTCAGCTGAGGTAGATAAGCAGGACTAATGGTCATTATACACAACTCAAAAAGATGTTATTAAATCAGTTTGAGTACATGTGCTGCCAAACCACGTGCAACAAGTTATTAATTCAGTATTATGTCTGAGATAATCACTGCCTTTATTAATAATTTAACAGTCTCACTGGCTCCAAAAATTTTCTTTAAGATTGCTCAATATTCTTATATTTTCGTAGGTCAATTATTACCAAATATTTGGAGGATTTTTACAGCCATCATTCAAACCAAGTAACATTTAAAACTCTTTCCACTTAACTGAAGACATTTAAAAGTAATGACCATTCATTACTGAATTTGGGTAATAAATCTTCCACAGCCAGTATATGCTTCTTCATGTCTGGAATCTATTTTACAGCAGACATAAGATTTTGAAAACTATAGTCATTTTATAATATGGCTCCAACCGAGTTTCTATTCTATCCATTCACTTGACAAATATTTGCTGAATACCTCCTCCGTGGCTGACACTCTCATGGGAAATGTGGCTAATAAAAAGACTCGAATGATTTATAAGACTTCAGTTCTAGTATATTGTGGGAATAAGTGGTAGAGCTGAGTAGGGAACATTTTGTTTAGTATCAGTTCTAGTGTTAATAATGTTAGAACCAAAATCAAGGAAAACGTTCCTTTCCTAACCTTTGGAAATTTACTAACAAAAATAATGACATCTACAAAACGTACGTAACAAAAGTTTGAAAATA